AAGCGCTTCCAAAACTTTTTTTCTCTCTCCCTTTTTTTTTTTTTTTTTTTTTTTTTTTTTTTTCCCCACACAAACGCGATACTTGGTATGCTCTTCTTCTACCAGAAATAGCGTTCCGACTGTTCAGAAGTCGCAGCCACGGAGCTTGGTTATCTGGGTGCCGCTTTGGGCAAGCCTCAGCAACGCAGCTGATCTCAGCTAGCTCCTTCCAGTGAAGCGTGAGGAAAGGAGTAAAGAGTTTTGCACAGGATTTTGTGGAGACCGAGAACTGCCTCTGAAGGCTGGAAAAAAAAAAATAATCGCATTGTTAACTTTTAGTTAGAGAGTTGAATTTAAAGCTGTTTTCCAGCATCTCTATGTACACCTTCCTGATTTTTTTTTATTTTTTTTTTTAATCACGCTGGAAGACAAATCATATATAGAACATGAATAATTGCTTCATTACTGAAGTGACCCACTCTGACGTACCCGTCGGGGGAACAAACTAAAAAACAAATGTTTCTTTCAAACCTCTCCCTAAAATTGCTGGTCTGATCTATCTCATCTTACCAGCATCTCCTGCTAATATCTTTAACCACTGCAGGAGACAGCCTTTCCCCATGCTCATTTAAAAATTAAAAAGCTTCCTTTTCACATCTCCCTCTTTGTTTCAAAGTCTGCTATATCAAACACCTGTCCCATTTAATCACTCTTGAACTATTTCCTAATTTAGCTGGGACAGTCATTTTTCTTCCCTGTTTTACATTGCAATATTTGTGAAATAGAGGCACTAGAGTCACTTCTAGACTGTATGAGGGTAGCTGGAGGTTGATTGCACTCCAGCTGGAGGAGGCTTTTTTCAGGTTCAGGCTTTTTCAGACTGTGTTTTGCCTCACGGGGAGCGATTCCTCTCCCAATGACAAAAGTGTCAACGTTGAATTAACCCTATAGTATTCGAAGTCCCGAGAACTTAAAGTCTTTTCAGTTTTCAATTCTGCACTTTCTCAATTTCCAATTCAGCAATCTGTAAAGTGAATAATGCTTTGCTAAGTGCAGTATTGATTTTTATTAGAAACTTTTGCCAATTAACATGGCATTAACATTTATCTTGAAATGCTTTTTACTTGCAAGGTTCTTGCTAAGTCTCAAAGGCTTCTAAGCTGGTCTTGACCATCAAGAAATAGATTGCAACTGCACTGAGATATGTTTGCTAACATTTTTGTTAGCACAACTCCTCAATACATGTTTGCTACTCTTTGGTAGCAACCACATTGCTGCCATTTACTTCAACTACAGAAGTTTTATTAATAGCAACTTATTTTCGGGAAATTTTAGTAATTAGATTAGTATATACAGAACTCTGGGCAGCTGCTGATACCTGAAGCAGAATTACCCTGTAGTATTGCACAAAATGGGTCTACGTGACAAAGCATCGAAACTGTTTCTGGCCGCCAGTAGTTTGTCTGGACCAGCTCTTTTCAGAATTACCGGTGGTTACGATGACCAATCAACAATGAAAAAATGACTGTTCATCAGAAAGGATGGGATAGTCAAAGAAATAAAACTAGTGAAGTTTACCACCCTTTTTGTTTCTACTCTGGCTTTTCAGAAATTAGAATATTTCAGAAATTAAAAAGAGTGTATGCTGTGGTGCGAGTCTCCTTTAATTAGTGAAAAAGTAAAGGAAAACACAGTTTCACAGGAATTTATGTGAGGATTAAGATAATACTGTAATAAACACTGACATCATAGTGGATATCTTGGCAAATTAACAGTAGCTTAAATGAAGAAGCAACTAACAAGATGAATCTAGATTGCAACAAGAGAAAAAACATCTGTAAATATAATAGACTGTTGTCCCTCAAGTGGCCTTTGCTAATTAAGCTACAAAATAAATTCCTTACTGAACTGTATGGAATTCATTATATAAGATTATGCGAACTGCTGCTAGTATATCTGGCTTTTTTTTTTTTTTCTCTAGAAAGCAGAAATACTCCTTATGCTACAAAAGTTCACTTTTGTACAAAACAAGGAAAGTTGGACCACCATCTAAAAGATCTTCCAGACTGTCTGACACTCTTTTTACTATGTTCTGCACTTCCAGTGTGTTCCACCCCACCGGCTATTAACAACAGTTCTATGAACAATAGCCAGTGACTATTTTGATTACAAGTCAGATGCAACATTTTCATCAATGACTGATAATACTCTGACTTCTTTTTTCTTTGGAGTGTCATACAGAAAGCAAATAAACTGGATAACCTGTAATCACCACCAAAATGATTTTTAACAATAAATTATTCTGTTATACGTAGTACAAATCATGAGAAGTGGTCACGATTATGGCATCAGAAAACCCTTTCATTAACAAGCTCATGAGACACACCACAGGATGGTATATTTTAATTCATGTTGTCCTGATTGAATCAATGGGAATTTTTGTAATGAGCTTGCAGGTACTTTTGCAAATCTCATTAATTTGCTGTTTACGTTGTTGAGTAACTAAGTAGCCTTGGAAATCTGCCCCATCGGGCCTGCTTTTCTTTTTATTGAGTCTGGTGGAAATTTGCCTACTAACTGGGGCAAGTCTGGGATGAATAGAAAGAATAGCCGTCTCAGTGTGAGTCACGCATTAGACACATGAAGTGAATTAAAGTCAGAAAATAGTTTTCTGTGTTTTAGAAGTTACCACAGAAACATTACCAATGGCAACTTGAAGTGTACTTTAAGAAACTGAGAAATTAGGATATTGCAGTTTTGTAATGCATGTGTTTATACACTGGACAGATCACACAGGAGAATGGCATTATCTGTCTCATCTTTTCTCTTAGTCTAAATTTATGCAAAAATACGAAATTATTTTTACTGTGATATGTAGCTATACTTTGCCTCTTCTTCTACAAAGCTAAACAACTTCTATAAATTGTCATGTTGGCTGTGAACTGCAGTGCATTGATACTATAATTAATTCTTGAAACAGTGGAACAATATTTTATCATAAAAGGTTATAATAAAACTATAATAGTAGATATCATGAAGTTTGTGAGCAGATACCTG